GAACGAGTGGTGAGGCGAGTAAGAGCAGAGGAGAGAGGCTATGGCAGCTGGCTCTCGGGACGGAGGGGCCGGCTTCTAAAAACAAACGCTTGGCTAAATAGTGGCCGTGGCGCCGGAGGCCGCATTCTTACAGCGGCAGGGGGGGGAGAAGAACCGGCCGGAGCCGCGAAGTACCGACCGGCGGTAAGAGTCGCTCATCCTGGAGGGAAGACTCCCCCCGCTCAGGCTTCGTCCACTCCCCCGGAGGAGAAGTTTGACCTTAAAGAGCAACAGGCGAGCTCCCTGACCTGGAGTTGGAGTGGTGGTGGTGGTGGGGGGGACCTGTTTCTCCAGTTCCGAGCCCCTTCTCTAGCATTCAGGTTGCATAACAAACCCTGGTGGTGTGTTCCTGGATTGAAGGTCACTAGTGGGAGGGAAGGGCGGCACGGTGGTTAGCACCACACCACCGTTAGGGTTCTGGGTCCCAGTCCCCGGGGGAACCGGGACCTTTCTGTGTGGAGTCAGCATGTTCTCCCTGTGTCTGCGTGGGTTCTCTCCGGGTTCTCCGGCCTCAAATTATTCCTTTCCTCTGTACGTGTTGGTTATGTGACAGAATTGATAGTAAAATTTACCAAGAAAAAGAGCTAGTGTGGATTGGTTCCTTATCAAAGTTCCAATTCCAAATTGCCCATTCGGAGTGGTTGTGATTATTGGTCCTTGTGTGTCTCTGTGTGGCCCTGCGATGGACTGGCGGACCAGCCAGAGAGTACCCCGCTTCTGGCCCTTTGACCACTGGGATAGGCTCCAGTTTCTCCCCCGCGACCCCATTAGGGAATAAGCGGTTACGATAATGAATAGATGGATGGTGGGAGGGAGGACCCGCTGACTAGCGGCTGACCTGCCACGTCTCTCAGGTGGATTCCCCTCTTGTCAGTCCCCTCCTCGACCTCAGCGTGAGGACAGCTTTGTCACACTCATGTCAGATCTCTTGGAGCTCTGCAAAGGTGTGTCCTCACGGGTGGGTGTGTGTGTGTGTGTGCTACAGCGCCTCGGGGGAGGCGGTCGCATGCTGGTGTGCCGTGGCTGCCAGGTATTCTTTAGCGTTCTCTGAAATCAAGAGGTAGCACGTCAACGAAAAGCCCACTTTTTGGTGTTACTGGTTTGTGATGGTGGAGGTGTTCAGATAAAGTGTTTGAGGAAGCTCACACCCCCCCTCTGAGGGTTCCAGGGCCTCGGCCGTGTGAGCCGGATGACAGGCATACATCGGGATGCCGATCTACGACACAGCTGTCATCGTTGCCCGCAGGGCGTTTGGCACGAGATCAGGAGGTAGTTTATATCGGGCTTGCCTCAGTCTGCTCAGGCTTTGCGCTCCCGTCACTTCTCAGACTGCAGCAAATCTCAGCTCAAACGCCTCCCAGCTCCTCGTTTACCCACCTGATTCAGCCTGGACGTTAACCTGAAGACTGCAAGAACCGTTGGTGTCGGGTAAAGTAGCAGATTTTTGTGGACTGACCTATAGATGGCTCTTCAGTAATGCCCAATAGCAACCTTTGTGTGGGTGGAACTGAGTTTTCCCCCGCACGCTGTAAATAAAGCTACGTGGGTGTGCTGTAGCCACCCTGCACAAAGGGTTTCCCTTTCGTAGCTTTAAATAAGTTTCTGCTGTAGATATTGCCGCGAATGGCCCTTTTAAAACGCCCTCCTTTTACCGTCGGCTGAGCTACTTTAGTTCTGAAGAAGGCCGACATAGAGATGTCGCCAAACGGGATTGGCACTCCCGGACTAGATATCCGTGTGCCGAAAATAAGGATCCTCTCAGGGCTTTTGACCTAAATATTGACACAAATACTCAGCGGCCGGTCGGGTGGTTCTGCTCCTCCTGCGTTTGGGTCGATGGTCGCAGCAGCTCATCCCGCCTGTCTGACCGTTCATTTAGAGGGAAGCGTAGCCATGGTGAGAACGTTCGGATCCCGTTAAGAGGCGTGATGGGAGAAGGCTTTAGGCCTCAGGAGTTCTGGCCTCACCTGTAGCTCCTCCCAGTGACGTTCAGACTTTGACTGATAAGACCGTCCACACGAAGCCATTCGGTGGCGGTTATCAACCACTCCCCTGTTTGATAAAGTTAATGTTTGACAGGCGCCCCCAACAGACATCATCCGCCTCTGGTGCCACACTTTCATTACGGCTTTACTTTATCTTCAGGGCCGACAGTCGGATCAGTCCTTCTCACTTTCTACCAGCCAGCGTAGAAGCAGATAGGGGGGGGAGTCGAAGCTGGTGCCAGACGACTGATTATAGTGGGAGAAAACGCCGGAAAACGGCGAGGCATTCGGCAGAATGAGCAGAATCCCCCGTTCAGAAGTCAGGAAGAGCTCGGCTTTTCTTTTGACGGAAGCGACTCCATCGCTCCACCCAAGGCCGTCTAGATATCCCAAACTTCTTATTCAGTCAAAGATAGACTTTCCAGGGCGTGCAGATTGACAGTGACCGTGTTGCTTTGCTCTTCGGGAACAACTGGCCCTAGAGACATGTATATACTGTGGAACAGAGCTCAACATTTACGTCAGAGGGTGCCGTCGAATGCGGCTGCCGTGGAACTGGGTGATGGATTTATACCCCTTTAGCTTTGTGAAATGTCCCAAATGTGCAAAATTCTCCCCATTGCCTTCCAGGCTTCCATAATGGGCACTGTGTGTGATGCAGATCAGACGAGCTTTACCAGGGTTCGAAATTGGTGGGAATTTGGTATTAGCCAGCAGGGCTAACATCTCTAATAAGTTGACCAAAAGTAGTGAGCCCGATTGTTACTATAACCACGTCATGCCTCGAACGATTTCATAAAAATGATGATAAACTGCAAGATAACATGGCGGGACGATGAATTTATAACGAAATTTTTTTTGGGGGGGTTGATTCCCTGTTTATTTTTTGCATGTATTTGATTTGCCAACCCGTCCTACCCCACAGAGTTGAGCTCACGACGAGCTAACAGCTTTTGATTTTCTCACGCCCAAACAAGATGCAAGATTTTTCTCGTGCCCAGAGAGATGCAAAGGTCAAGTAGAGGGCTGCTTTGCTCCCAGGCTGGCTGGATGGTCAAGTTTGACTTCCACCGCCTGTTTTTAGCAGCGGTCGGTTGTTATATCAGACAGAGCGTGGTCATTGTAACCCTAACAACCAGCTATAGAGGCCTCCACGCATTCGCTTTTCCTTTCTCCTCTTGCAGAGTTCCAGATTTCTGTCATACCTCTTTTTAAAGAAAACCAGTTGCACTTCCTAGGATTAAAATTTCTGAGCCTACTTGTTTTTGCCCACAGGGTGTTAAAACTCCACAAGGGTGTAACAGCCGGATGATTAGGTGAAGGATCTATAACAAGCTCAGTGATCTGAGTGCTTGATGGTGGTTGGCAAAAAGAAAAAGGTGAAGTCCAGTTGTTCTGTTCCATGGACAGAATCGATACATTTCGCTTTGGCACAATAAGACGGAGGTGCACTCCTCCTAAACGGCGTGGGATCTACTCGGTGTGTTCCTGAGAGCGGGTGGAGGTCCACAGCATGGCGTGGCCCCTCAGGAAAGCCAAACAGCGGCAGAGAGGCCCGGGGAAACAATGAAGTCATGGAGAGAGAGAGAGAAACTGAGACAAGGAGTGAAAGTGAATGAGAGACGAGGAGGAAGAGGAGGGGAGAGGTAGGGAAACAAGGCTCTGCTTTCTTTCCTCCCAGCCACCATCATATTTGGAGGGTTTTGTAATAAAACAGGACACCGTAATGTAAGTGAAGGTCAGTTTCTGCCTTCACAGTAACACAAGCCATTCACGGACGAAATGCCTTTTTTTCCCTTTTTTTTTGGCTCGCACCCGTGCTGTCTGCTTCGTTTTTTTAATCCCAGGAAAAAGTCCTCTGCTAGGCAGGAAGTGGCCTTACCAGCTGCAGAAACATCAACGTGTTTGCAGTAAGAGAAGTGACCAGGTAGAGGTTTGAGTTTCTGGAATGAGGTGTAAGGCGGCTGTGTAGGAGTTCCTGTGTAGGAGTTCCTATGTAGGAGTTCCTGTGTAGGAGTTCCTGTGTGGACGCTGCAGCTGACGCCTGAAACCTGGAGCGTTACCGCATCGGCGGGGGTGTTCCGAGCTGTTTTCGTGCTTTCCTTTGTTTAGTCTGTCCCAGCTGTCTGACCCGTGGCTCTTCGCGTGGGGGGTCCGCCACGCTAACGCTTGTGTCGTTTACAGTCCCCTGCTTCAAGTTTTTTGGCGACGGAGCTCTTAAAACCAGAGCTACGATTGGCTGCTCAACACGGCTAATGAGCGCAATAGGCGGCGCGCAGGTGTTCTTCTCTCACGTTGGGGTTTAAGACCAGATTATAAGGCTATCGTCGTCCTGAAGAAGCACAGAGTCTCCTCACTTATTCTGTTTTGGGTTTGAGAGCTGTTTGTTTTGGGTTCTATAAAATCCAGCGGTAATACCCGTGAGAACAGCCCTAAAACAAGTTACCTGTGTGCCGACTCAGTCATTTGGCAGCTTCGATTAGGACAAGGAACCAGCCCCAGAGCTGTGAGGGTCCAGATGTTATTAGCTTCAGAACCTGCGCACGCCTTTCTGTTCCCAAAAGCTGCACTCTACCCCCGCCCGCGAATAGGATGTCACAGTTCCTCTTTAGATGGAGGGAAATTTGCACACGTGTGTGTCTGCCCAGCGCCAAACACACCGGCGTTCATTGTCAGGAGAACTGTCGGCTTAGCCAGAGAGACGGAGACTGGGCCCTGCTGTTTTTTTTTCTCCTTTATTTTCCCTCTCGGCTCGCCTGGCTCTTAATTAATACGTGCCCTCCTCCCTCAAGCCGGGCGAGTCTTCATTGCCGCTTCCTGAGGGATCCGAGCGCGGCGCCGCCTAACACAACAACAACACCTGCCCTACACTTTGGGCTGTTTTTCGTCTCCTGCCCCGTCTCTCTCCCCGCCTCACCTTAGCTCCATCACAGGTTCTATTTTCCCAGTTCTGCCCCGCTCCGTGCATCTTAAAACATGGACGCCAGCAACATCTGCAGCTTCATGCGTAAGAATCAAGCCTCTATTTTAGGACGCGGCTTCCTGGGCCAAAGCTTTGATGGGCTGAAACACGTAAGTGTCACAGTTCGACTTCGCCTCTCGCCGGCTCCGTCGTGCGTAATTTTTCGGAACATGTGAAACTAGGGTGAGGCTGGTCTCGCTTTGGTTGAGGTGATACATCCACTACGCCCACACAAGCGCAGGCAGGTGGTGAGGTCTTTTGAAGGCTGTGTTAAAGGAAACTGTGGAGACTGAAAAAACGGTAATGCCCGCTGAATTAAAGTGAATTAAACTGAATTAAACTGAGGTCTGTGAGGAGGTTTATCCTTTAAACTGTGCTTCCTGAATGTCCTCTGCTGTTGAATGGAGAAGGCTCTCATTATGGGTTATTTATTCATATTTATTCATACTTCTAGTTACAAGACTTTAGTTTTTAGTCATACCATAGCATAGCCCCTGCCTAATCTTGAGCTTTTTTATTTAACTAAACAAAGTACAACCTCCACCATATCTTAGGTTTTTACATATCAGAACAGATTTGGTCCTTTTCAGCTCCTGAAATGAAAATGACGCCACCTGCTTTTTTAGCTGTCATATGAGGTGTTATTCAACGCCGCCGTCTTTCTCCTCTTCCTCCTCCTCCAGGTGGTGGCTAGCGACGGGGTGCGGGCTATGATGGAGTCGGCCCTGACAGCCAGAGACCGCGTGGGCGTGCAGGACTTTGTCCTGCTGGAGAACTACACCAGCGAGGCGGCTTTCATCGAGAACCTGCGCAAGCGCTTCAAAGAGAGCCTCATATATGTGAGTGGGGAGCCGGGTTAGACTTCGGATTGGTATTTCAGAGTCACTCTGCCCACTCCGGGTTTTAATTTTTTCCGTGTCCTTTTTTTTTTTTTACAGACTTACATCGGCTCAGTACTAGTGTCGGTCAACCCGTACAAAGACCTGGAGATCTACACCAAGAACCACATGGAGCGCTACCGCGGGGTCAACTTCTACGAGGTGTCCCCACACATGTAGGTGCACAGCTCAGCTCCCAGCACTCACAGGCTGAAAAACATCCTCCGGCTTTTTTTCTCCCCCCTCTGGAACGACACAACTGTGTTCCACACTCTGCTCATAAGCGCATGAGAATCTTCCCTCTGTGCGCCGCTCTCACAGAGGACCGTCAATACTACAGACCCACTGTTTGTAAGAAATCCCCCCGCCCCCCACCCAACCCAACAACCACCACCAGAGAGCTCTTTACTTCAGTACTCGAGAATGCGGCCACATGTTTTTCTCTCCCTTCGAGTGGAAAGAGATGTACTCTGGCACAGTGAGGGAGGGTGTCTGGAGAGCAAATGTGAGGAGGGGAAGATAAGAAAAGTAAGCACGTGTTGGTACCGGGTGAAAGATGTCCCTCAGAGGGAGTTCCCTCCGGCCTGAACGTGACCCCCCCCCCCCCCCCCAGCGTCAAACCCAAACAGAACACGCATGCATTAGGGATGCGGTTACAATCAGAGCTGCTCCGTATCTTTCAGCTGTCAGACGAGCGTCCGTGATGAACGATTGCTGGAACTAAAACGAGCCGCTTTGCTTTTTTCGAGCCCCGTGATTTATCACGATAAGCCTGACCCCGCTCGCGCAACGCGAGAAACCATCATCCGTCACATCCCGAGCACATGTTTTTTTTCCACATTCCAAGAGCAACATGATTTTTCATCTGCGGTGGTCGTGATGGATCATTGGTTCCTTTCGCCGTCTAACTGAAGCACGTTTGGCTTTGACCTTATTTAATTGGTTCGGTGTTTCTCTTCATTTGGGGTTTTAATGTCCGAAACGGTATAAATCTTCCCCGATAGCTGCCTGGTTGGTTTTTCGTCAAACGGAAAGCCTCTATGTGTGTGTGCTGTGTCCTTCTCACCACTTTACTGCTTCTCCCTCAGCTACGCGGTGGGAGACAACGCCTACCGCTCCATGAGGACGGAGAAGAAGGACCAGTGCATCCTGATCTCCGGAGAGAGCGGCGCCGGGAAGACGGAGGCCTCCAAGAAGATCCTGCAGTACTACGCCGTCACCTGTCCGGCCAGCGAGCAGGTGCAGACGGTCAAGGACCGCCTGCTGCAGTCCAACCCGGTCCTGGAGGTAAGACCCACCTCCCCACCCTCCGCTCCAAAACTCTGGGGGAAAAGTCTCTTTTCTGTAAATCTTTTCTGATCCGACAGTTTCGGTTAAGGCCCAGCAGATCAGCTTCAAACACCGTTCCGGACTAGTCTTGTCCCGATTCGATATTTGCAAAAAAAATGCGTATCTGCCAGCATGAGAAAATGCCGATCCAGACTCTCGATCCAGTTTTTTTAAAAAGTCCGATCCCACCCGAGCATTAGCATCTCCTAACCCACAGGTCCGTGTCCTAACCATTAAGTTGTTATCAGAGTAAATCTCTGTTCAACATAAGACTGACAACTAAGTAAGTAGGCTAAATGACTTTAAACTTTAATACATGCTCTGATAGGCCGGGATCGGATCGGAAGTGCAAAAAGCTGGATCGGGACATCCCTATTCAGGACACAGTTTTTTAGATGACTTTGTAAAAGCGTCCACTTTTACACGGTGCCCTATGTTCTGCATTTCTGTGTAAGACAAAGGCCTGAGTAACTCCTTCTCATTTGTTTTGCTGACTTCCCTCCCCAGTTAAATCGCACTGCTCATGCTTCTCTAATCTCTGTTCCTTAATGCACCTGGACGCTCCCCTCCTTAACAACTCTGCCTCCCACAGGCCTTTGGCAATGCCAAGACGTTGCGCAACGACAACTCCAGCCGCTTCGGAAAGTACATGGACATTCAGTTCGACTTCAAGGTGAGCCCTGTTTCTCCTGACAGCCACTCTAAGCAAACACCGTGCACCCAAACAGCAGGAATCTCTCAGAAATCTACCAAACTTTTGTTCTCACATTTGTTGCTGCGCTCCAGTTTTAATATTTCCTCTCATTTCCCAAACAAAAATCTCTGTGGAACCTGCATGTTTGATCTACCCCACATGACACCAGTACCCCAGCCTTACCCTGTCCTCCTCTTCCCGCCCCCCCCTCCATCCCTGGGCTCTGTCCCGCCTGCAGGGCGCCCCCGTGGGAGGCCACATAATCAACTACCTCCTGGAGAAGTCCCGGGTGGTCCACCAGAATCACGGGGAGAGGAACTTCCACATTTTCTACCAGCTGATCGACGGAGGCGAGGAGGACTTGCTGAGACGGCTCGGCCTGGAGAGGAACCCCCAGCAGTACCAGTACCTGGTCAAAGTAAGACTACGGAGCTTCCCTTTAGAGTTTCAGAACAAGCCATGCGCTCAGTTCAGATGCGTCGTTTCGGAGCTGCATTCGTGTGCAGACAGGCCTGCAGAGAAGCCTCAGCTCACGCGTTTTTACCTCTCCCCGCGCTTGTGATTAGGCTGCACGCTCCGTTCAGGTGATTAGCGCCCACTACGCGAGGCACTGGAGACTAAAAAGACTTTAAACTGACAGGAACCCCCCGCCAGCTGTTTCAGCTCCGAGCTGGGAAGCGGACACGGGCCGCCGACCTGCCCCTGCCCGGACAGACGCAGTTCCAAAACCACCCAGAATATGAGTTAGTTTAGAGAAATTGCTTCTTCTTCTGCGTTGCGGTAATCCTCAGCATATGCTGCCACCCTCTGGTGACAGTTAGCACGTCAGAGCAGTCCAGATGTGACTTCATTTCTGCCACTTCTCACGTTCACATCAAATTTGCTTTGAAAGGGAAACCAGGCCAAAGCAGTGTGTCTGTGTGTGTGTGTGTGTCTCCATGCTCGTGCTCTCAGCGCAGCTACATGTCAGAAGTCTCTCTACGGCCTCTTGCTGAATCAAAGAAAGACGCACGGACTCGTCTAAATGGGTATTTACATGACACATAAGTGGGTGTTTACCTCTAACCAGCAATCACCAACTTTTGTAGGCTTTGCCTGACATGTTCCCAGCATTACGACAGCCTAAGCGAACAACGTGGAAAATAATTATCCCCTCCAAACGCTTGACTTTGTGTCAGAGGGCTTCTGTAATGTGTGTGTATGTGTGTGTTTTGTCCACAGGGTAACTGTCCTAAAGTGAGCTCCATCAACGACCGCAGTGATTGGAAGGTGGTGAGGAAAGCTCTGACTGTGATTGGCTTCAACGAGGACGAGGTGGAGGTGAGAACCGAGTACACCACACTGACATGTTTGCTTTGTCAGCTCGGGGTTGGGTGTCTGTGGGTCGGGGTGTGTGTGTGTGTGTGTGTGTGTGAGTGTGTGTGGGAACAGCAGCAGCTGTCTCTGTTTCCATAGAGGAGATGTGTCCAGAGGAAACTCCGGTTAGCATTTACTCCTTTCGACCGCTGCCTGGAAACAGATGTACGCAGAGAATCCAGATGTGGCTCGGCGATAAGCTGGCAGAAAGGGTAGGAGCAGGACTCAGACACAGCTTTCCCCACCGAGCACCGGAGCCTCTGTGGGCCTCGGGGGCTGTTTCCGTGTCCCAGCGGATGTTTGGGAGACAGAGCTGTGTATGTAGCTGTTATTAAATCGTTAGAAGTCACTTGTGCTCAGCATGGGAGTCCTCCCACACGCTCATGAGTCCGGGCTCGCTTCCAAAGCTCCCCTTAGATCTCACAGGCCGAACAACAGGTGTGCGCAGCTCATGTGTGGTAGTCCTGTGGGCCGATTGCCACATTCCTGCCCTTTTTCTTATCTTATCCTTATTTTAATCGAAGCCCGGCATATCAGTCGAGGTGCTCATAAAGATAGCTCCAGCTTTGAGTCACTTTACTCCTTCACCTTTGTTCTGTTTTCCGGGTTTTTCACTCCCTCCTTCCCCTTTTCTCCGTGTGTGCAGGAGCTGCTAAACATAATCGCCAGCGTCCTCCACCTGGGCAACATCCAGTACGGCGGGGAGGATGGCAGCGCCTGCATCACCTCGGACACGCAGATAAAGTACCTGTCCAGGGTAAGACCCGCCGACGATGAGTCTCATAAACGTTCCTCACAAAAGAGGGAAGAAACACACAGCTGGAGTCTGTGTTTGTGGCACAGCGACACACAGAACCAAGCCTCAGGGGCACCCGGAGCCCGAGTGGAACGCTAAGGAAAATAAGCAAACTGCAACGGGCAGAAGCCCACTCTTGCTTCCTGTCCCCGATCTGAAGTTTCACCCTTCCCAGCAGTCATGTTTTCCAGTGCGCATTTGAACCCGTTCAAACTTGACCTTCTCTCTCCAGCTATTAGCATAGAAAAGTGGATGTTGTTCCAGGATATTCCTGAGTAATGAGATCAGTTTCATTTCCTGTCCTCCTCCTCCCAGTTCAAACTAGTTATGCTTATGAAGTGTGTCTGCTGGTGAAACATCTCTGAGCCAAAAAAGGAGTAAATCCAATCTGCTTTCAGTGGTTAATAGACTTATAAGTGGACTTATGTCCTTATAAAGCACGTTTGTTGTCTAAGTGACCACTCACAGTACACCACATTCAGCCCCTTCACACACACTCTCACACACCAGTAGATACCACCTTCTGAGGCTTCACCTGTTCTTAACGGCCCACCTAAGCATGTGGTATTACCATGACACCCCCGACCCTTTACTGCTGCATCTGTCTCTGGAGGGGCCTGCTGCTCATTTAGCTCTTTTTCAGTTGTTAGGAGTGAACGGGGCGGTGCTGACCGAGGCTCTCACACACAAAAAGATCATCGCCAAAGGAGAGGAGGTAGGTTTGGATACATTCTGTCATCGTGTGATAAGCTACCCCGTCTGTGTAACGTCTGCCCTGGTCCATGGTAAAAAAACACGATCACTTTTACCCGTTATTTAGTCTTTGGCTTTATCCTCTTGGCCCTCATTGTCTTCTGTGTGTGTGTGTGCGCGTGCGTGTGTGTGTTTGGTGTGTGTGTGCTTGTGTTTTCTCAGCTGATGAGCCCACTGAACCTGGAGCAGGCGTCCTCTGCTCGGGATGCTTTGTCCAAGGCGGTTTACGGACGCACCTTTACCTGGCTGGTCAACAAGATCAACGCCTCTCTCACATATACGGTACACACACGCGCAAACACACACCCAGCTCTGCATGGGCAGGACTCACTCCCCTAACCATAACAATGACAGCTGAGTGCCAAAACCAAAAGCGTAAAGGCCCGTTCACGTCCTCAGAAATGGTTTGGTCCACATGGACTCTGCTCTTCCGTTGACCCCATAACTGTTGTTTCCTAATGAGGATTACTAAAGAACCATATTCTATATTTAAATCAAAGATTCAACTACACTAAAGATGTGACTGCAGAGCATGTCACCACAGCGCCACCTCGTGGGCACCACTCAGATTGCCTATTACATGAATGTCCTAGCTATTAATTACAAATCAGATCAATGAGATGCTCAGTCTTTAATAGAGCTGCTCAGGGTTTTTCGGTGAACCCGCATGGAACTTAAACTGAACCACAACACCCACTTTTCCTTTCTGTGATGCCCTGCCTCATATGTGGTTTTTCTCTGCCTTCTCCAACAGGACGACTCTCACAAGAATTACTCCGTCATTGGCTTATTGGACATCTACGGCTTTGAAGTCTTCCAGCATAACAGGTGCCCTTCGTTGCTCGAGCATGTCGTCATTATTTTTTTTAAATCTATTTTTAGCCCCACCGTTAATTCCTGTCAGTACAGTGTGATGGCAGAAACCGGGCCTGATTTCTTGAATTCCGTTGCAGCTTCGAGCAGTTCTGCATCAACTACTGCAACGAGAAGCTGCAGCAGCTCTTCATCGAGCTCACCCTCAAGTCGGAGCAGGAGGAGTACGAGGCCGAGGGCATAACGGTCAGACTTTTTCTTTTTTTTTTCAAAAAGCCGCCTTCGGCTCTTCTGTGTGCTTGACAGTTCCTCCCATTTAGTTTCCGTTCTGCTGTTGTTCATGGTTTGATCCTCCCAAAAAGATCCAAAGCACAATTATTTACTCAGACTGCGCCGAGGTTTTTCTTTGTTCGTCCCTTTAAGAAGATGCTGCCTCATTAGAAATCGATTTATTCATTCTTGGATGAAAGTTTTTACCTTATAAGGGCAGCACAGGTGGTGATAGAAAACTGAAGGTCTGGTTATCTCCCTTTGTGCGCTCTCCGTTTGTCCTGGTTGTATTAATGTTTTTTGTTTTGTTTTACTGGAACAAAGGGCCCCCTTTATTTTCTGTCTAATAGAAATGCATGCGTTCAGTGAGCAAACAGGTTGTGGGAGAAAACTCAAAGAGTCCATTATTGAAAGACATGAGGGCCGTGGGTCGCTCTCTCTGTCGTCTCTGTGGAAATTCTGAGCGCGCCCGGCCTGTGGAGCCGGGTGCGTGTGTGCGTGTGTGCGTCCCAGAGGGTGAAGGGTGTGTCCGCCGGCAGGGAATTCCTTACATTCTGGGGATGGTTGGATGCGTACTGCTGGTTGGCTTCAGCTGCCTTCAGCCCGTTTGTGTGGCCCAGCTGTGTCATCAGGCTTGCTTACAGTTTGATACTGTAAGCAACTAAAGTGGCGTTTGTGTCTTTTCAGTGGGAGCCAGTCCAGTACTTCAACAACAAGATCATCTGCGACCTGGTGGAGGAGAAGTTCAAAGGGATTATTTCCATCCTGGTGAGGAGCCACGATGTGACGTCTGACCCAGCCTCCTCTCCTCCGAGTGTGCCCCTCTAAGACCGTTTCTCACCCTTTTTTCCTGAACACAGGACGAGGAGTGTCTGAGGCCCGGAGACGCCAGTGACCTCACCTTCCTGGAGAAGCTGGAGGACACTGTGGGAGGACACGCACACTTTGTCACGTTAGTTTACCCCCCCCCCTCGTGCAGCCCCAGTTCCATCACAGGGTTTAAACTAAAGCTCTTTACTTATATTCAGAGTTTGAGCCAAATGTGTTGACTCATGAATGTATGTGTGTGTTTGTCTCCACCTGCAGTCACAAGCTGGCTGATGCAAAGACCAGGAAGGTAATGGGCCGGGAGGAATTCCGCCTGCTGCACTACGCTGGAGAGGTCAACTACAATGTGAACGGTGTGTGTGTGAACGGCTGCTCAGGACCCTGTGACACACTCCTCAAAACACTCAAATCACTGCATCCATCCATTGTCTATACCGGGGGGCTCCAGCTTATCCCAGCTGTCACTGACCATATACACTCACTTCAAAGGGAGATGTAGAGTCATCAATAGGCAAATATGTATCTTCTTTGACTCTGGGAGAAAGCCTGTGTGCTCAGAGGGAGCCGTCTAACTCCACATAGAAAGGGGGCCAGCAGGGATTCAAACCCAGAGCCCACTGTGAGGCGATGGTGCAAACCCCCACACCACAGGGCAGCCCCATGTGACCTGATCATACCTGCTGTCATCTCCAGCTGTCCTCATTTCATGTCAAAACCATACTTAACCATATTAAACCTAGATCTGCCCATAGTATAAAACATAGGTCTGTCATTACTACATAACATAGATCTGTCCTACTATAAAACATATATCTGTCCATACTACATTACATAGATCTGTCCTACTATAAAACATAGATCTGTCCATATTATAAAACATAGATCTATCCATACTACATAACATAGATCTGTCCTACTATAAAACATAGATCTTTCCATACTACATAACATTGATCTATCCTACTATAAAACATAGATCTTTCCATACTACATAACATAGATCTGTCCTACTATAAAACATAGATCTGTCCATAGTATATAACATAGTTCTGTCCAATAATAGACATCTGATACTGTGGGCTGCTGTTGTCTTATCATGTTAGAAAATAAAATGTGTTCTCTGACTCAGGATTTTTGGACAAAAACAACGACCTACTCTTCAGAAACCTGAAAGAGGTGAGACTGAGTTTGGAATTGAAATACTGTGCTGCGTTGTGCTGTGTTGTGTTGTGTTGTGTTGTGTTGTGTTTTGCTGTGGTGGCTCAGAATGTGCTGTGTGCGCACCTGCAGGTCATGTGCATGTCGGAGAACAAGATCTTGACGCAGTGCTTCGACAGGGAGGAGCTGAGTGACAAGAAGCGGCCCGAGACGGTGAGACCCCCCCCCCCCAACACACACCTGTGTCTCCCCTCAAGTTCCGAGGCCGTCCCTGTTGCCTTTCCGCTCTCAGAAATCCATCCACAGGGTCCGGCTCACTTTCCCACGAGCATAACACACAGCGGTGTGTCCCCCCCCCTCCCCGGCGTTGAGTGGGCGGTCTGGCGGGGATTCTCTGCGGCTGCCCACTCTCTGAGGAATGCCCTGTGCACAGCGCTCTCCCAGACACACACACACAGACACACACACACACCGAAGCAGGGTCCAGTCACAGGCTGGCGAGCTCGGAGTCCCAGTCCCCTCCACACTGGGTCCAGTGTCCAGCGGCGTCTGACACTGCCCCGCTGACGTAGCTCCCCCTTAGGTCATCGCCTCTGCCCGCCCGGCCGGACACTGCCTCCTCAGCTCTCCGTCTCCGCTCTCCGCAAAACCCCGACCGACTCCGTCCTGCTCCTCCTGACCATCTCCCCTTTCGCCGTCCGTGTGTTTTTTCTGTCTGCCCCCACCGTAGGCAGCCACCCAGTTCAAGGCCAGCCTGGCGAAACTCATGGAGATCCTCATGTCCAAGGAGCCGTCCTACGTCCGCTGCATCAAGCCCAATGACTCCAAGCAAGCGGGTAAGGAAACGCCTCCTCTGAGGATCCAGCAGAGCCTGACCCGAGGCAATTTCAGTCAGATTTAGCATCAAAATGTGTTTTTCCTGGGCTGGAGTCGAGAAAAGATGAGTGGGATGATGAATACGGACACTGGTGGAAATTCTAAAGTTAAAATATTGATTACTTGTTCATGTTGGACCTCTGAAACCTCCATGAAATTAGTTGGAGTTTACTGGTGATATTTAATGTCTGACTGAGCACAATAGAATTCTATAGTGTTCAATATTCAAAGAAAGATTTCAGAGAAAATGATTCTGCTTTCGTTAATGAAATACTTAAGCTATTTAACCCCATGTAGAGGCTTTTTTAGAAGAGATTCTTGGCAGCTTGATGTGAAGCAGAAGAATCGATTCAACTGCTTCAATGAGCTTTCCTTCGTTCCCATCCCATTTCTGTTCTTTTGCTAATCGCAGCCCAAACAGTCTGTTTTCTGCTGCATCAGGAGGCGCAGTGTAGCCCTCCATGTGGTCGTCAGTATATCGGACCGGCCTTTGTTTGCCTCCACATTCGGCCTTTTGTTGCGCTCACACTGTTTCTCTGTCTTGGGTCACTCCTACTGCCGCTGCTTAGCATTTACTGGCTCACTGGTTCATTTTTCCCCAACAGACGTCCCTTTTTCTGAGTGTGATTTCACCCTGAACCCCCCCTCCCCCCCCTCCCATCTCCTCCCCTCCCCTCTGCTCTGCCCAGGTCGGTTTGACGAGGTGCTGATCCGTCACCAGGTCAAGTATCTGGGGCTGATGGAGAACCTGAGGGTGAGGAGGGCCGGCTTTGCCTACAGACGGCGCTACGAGGTCTTCCTACAGAGGTGATGTGACACGCAAAACAAAAACCAAAAAAATCTCTCATCTTTGAAGGCAAGGATGAGGGATAATTCTTTGTTTTTGCTTTAAATGAAATAAGCTGATAGGTGCTGGTGCTATCTGGTCTTTGGAACCTTAAAGCTTTGTTTAAAAAAAAAAAAAGACAAATTATTGACTTGCATCCGTGCACGTTTGGCCCGTGCAGGTACAAGTCGCTGTGTCCGGACACGTGGCCCAACTGGCAGGGGAAGCTGGTGGACGGAGTGTCCACCCTGGTCAAACACCTGGGATACAAGCCCGAGGAGTACAAACTGGGCAGGTACGGAGGTCTCAGACGGGGCGGGGGCGCCCCTCGTTTCTCTTTACCCCTCTCAGGTCGGGACACGTTTGAGTCTTTTTGTGTCGTCCAGGTCCAAAATCTTCATCCGCTTCCCGAAGACCTTGTTTTCCACCGAGGACGCGCTGGAAACCCGGAAACACGGGCTGGGTAAGACTCCGCTTAGATGCCGGCGATTCTTGTCGGTTTTTTTTTCGGCTCACCTTTCGCCCCCCCTCCCCAGCTACCAAGCTGCAGTCCGGATGGAAAGGCTACACCCAGAAGACCAAGTATCGGAAGCTCCGAGCCTCAGGTGAGGACTCCCCGGTCTCTCCGGGCCTGGCCCACGACGGGCCGCCTGGAGCAGAGCGCTACAGCCGTTTCTCTCTCTGTGTCTGGTGCAGCGATTGTGGTCCAGGCGTGGTGGAGGGGCATCCTGGCCAAGAGGAGGGCCCAGCGCAGGCGGCAGGCTGCCGGCACCATCCGCAGGTAGGGGCCGGACCCCCCAGGACCCGCTGAGACACAGAGACACAAGTTAATGACAAAAACTAGGGACATGTACATGGAAAGAGAGAGGAGGGTGAACAGGTGCATGATGGGAGCCCCCCCCAGCAGTCTGGGCCTATAGAGGGAGGAGAGATGCATCATGGGAGCCCCCCAGAGGGA